TTCTGAAATGAGTCTCCTGCAGAGGGCCTTTGCTCTCACTGCTGGTCCCCTGTCCGAGAAACACCTGGCTCTTCCTCCAGCACGGCTCCTTCTCTGCCCTGGTGAAAGTGTCTGCTGAAATGTCAGATGCTCAAAAAGAACTTTCTTGACCATCCTATCAAACAGTGTACCCTCTGACGGTGTCTTCTTGCCCCACCGTACTTTATCTCCTTCAGTACCTTTATCTCTGTACCGGCTTGAATGTGATGACTTACTTATTTTCAAGGCAGGAACCTTGTCTGCCTTAAGCACCGTGGTGTCCGCAACTCCTCAGAGTCGCTCACTCAGCAAATATGTGTTGAGTGAATGAATACATCAATCAGTACGGATTAACTGGTACATGTAAACACTGTGTGTAAACTCTAGGCCCTGGAAATTTATTTGCAAGTCAGTTTAAAAGTGATAACTGTTTCGTATCACTGGTCAGATGGAACTGAGCCTGTGGGACTCTCTGACCCAAGGGAAGTGTGGGTGGAGGAGAGAGACAAGCCAGGCAGCAAGGAAACTTTACCCTTTTTGCTCCGTACTTATTTTCCACGTCAAGCACTCCCTAGGCATCCACTCCTGCCTCCTCCTGGGCTAGCGGGTGTCTGTCATCTTCGCTTTGCAGGTTTCATTTTTGCCGTATCCCTTCCTAAAAAGGATTCCACCTTCCCTCGGTCATGTCCGTATTTCTTTCCCTTTTGAACGTCATTCATTCCCTCATTCTTTGCAGCTATCCATTAAAAAGCATCACTAATGCTTTTTTAAGAAAAAATCAAACTATAAGATTTACATCTTGCAGTGGTACTTCACAAAATTATCCATTTTTTTCATTTATAATATTTCAGAATTAAATCTCTTAAGTTGTTTTTGATATTTTGCTAGTGTAAGTAGTGTTTGATTGTTTGCTTAAATCCAAAGAGGTATTTTCACGAGATCGCATCATTTCTTGACTCTAAGATCGAGTGGCGTGAGAGTCCTTTTTTCAATGTCGCTTTATCAGTTGCAGAGCCCTTCACACCCGATTTCTCTCTCCTTGATCCTCCCACAATCGTGTGCCACACAGACGCATGTATTATTATCTGCATTTTTATGCTTGAAGAAACCAGGGCTCAGAGAGGTCCAGTGACTAGTCTTGAGTTGCCCTGCTGGTTAAACACAGATCTGGGGCCCAAATCGTATCTTCCCACTTCAGGTTGTTTGGGCAAAATTGACACAAGGAAGAGCAGTAGATGGACTGGTTTAGATGCTGCTTCTGTTTACTTCACACCTTTGGATATTACGCATCTTCCCTCCCGAGGCCCCCTTTCATGTGCAGGGTTGGAAGGTGAGCCATGTGTTCAAGCTTCTGCACAGGAGTTGCTCATGTAAGTGGTGGTGCTGGAGTGAAGGCCTAGGGCCCCGCCACTCTCCAGGGGTCCAGGGTGCCCACCCCTCTGAGCCCTGGGTGCCCTTACCTCCGTCTCTGCGCAGAACTGAACCTCTCCTCTCTCCTCCCACCAGCAGTGCCAGAGCCGAGTGGCCAGGAGGGACCAGGTTCTGGGCCATCTGAGCATCCCTTTGAGTCAGCAGTGAGCTGGTGACTGAGGTCCTGGGGCAGATGCAAACTCTTGTGTAGCAACTGTCCCAGGTGCGGTCCTATATCAGTTTGCAGGTTCCCAGTCCTCTGGGACCTGCAGGAGGCCCAGAGCACCCGTGGGTCTATTACAGTGCCCTTCACCCTTCAGCCCTCCTGCATCACAAACTGTCTTAGCCTGTAAGCTGAGCATTCGTGTTTCAGATGGGCGCCTTCAAACCCACTGATTTCAGAAACATCAGATAGGAAAATTATCAGGGCCTGAGCTCTCTAGACCCAAACTTTGTCTTGTGAAGAGGAGAAGGAAGAGTAAAGCATGTGATAGCGTTGAAATCTTAGTGTAGGATGAGGTAAGCATCGTTGCAGAACTTGGTCACAAAGTGCTGTCTGGACACGGATATTACACTCATTACATTCACACAGCCGATGTCTGTGCTGGCGGGGGAAGGTGATGCACTTGGTCTGGGCCATGGAGTCCGCGTTGCCTTTTCTCTTTGGCTCATCTGTTTCCATGGCCCTTTGTCACCCTGCAGTTCTGAACCGTCCGCTTGGTCAAGGTGAAGTTCTCAGAATTGTTCTCCACCAACATAATTGGCCTTGACATCCGTGACATTGCGACAAAGTCTGTTTCTCCAGCATTCTTTTCTTGTTATGTTCACATTGTTCTGGTTCCTGGCAAAGATACAAATGTTTGCCAGTGGTGTTTTGAGTCCAGTGTAATACTGAGGGCTCACTGTCAAATAAACCATAATGGTGAAAGGAAATTATTACTAAAGACAAGTGCATTTTCTTTGAATTGGCAAGTATGTTCACCATCTCATGAAATTTTGGAGCATACTCCCAGAAGAGGCTGTGGGAGAATTTTTTTCTCAAAATTGCCCCAAATAAAATAGGCCTTGTTAATATGGATCTGATACGTTCTTTCTTAAACAAGAGTGGTAGAAGGCATGAATTCCAGAAGCTGCACTTTTAACCTTTAATTCCTTGCATCTCTTTTTCCTCTGACTTCTCTCTGTCTCTCTTGCCAGTAACTGTGCCCACCCATGAGCAACTGGAACCTGACTCACAATGGATGCAAAGGAGTGTCAACAACGCTCCTTTTAAAATGCCTTATCTCATTGCTATGCATAATGCTGAAATATGCAGGTGTCTTTTGCACAGATGTTTCTACAGGGAAACACTGTGAACTTACGGTTCTATCAAAAGCATGCTAATTAAAAAAGGATGGTATATTATTCAACTATTTAATAATTTTACTTTGTCTTTGTCTTAATACCAGCACATAGAATTTCTGATAATCTACCTCATCTTAAGATTCTTGCTTCTTGCCTAGGACCTTTGGTCATTAACTTCTGATTCATGATAGTAATAACAATTTCCTAATGCCCAGTAAATGCTTACAAAAAGAGGCTTTTCACACCTGCCCTCAGATCACGCCACCACTTAAAAGGCCAGCGAATCCTTGCTCATCGTTGGATGTTTCCAGCTGCTTACCATCAAGGAATGATGATATGGGTTACAACTATAAATCTGCCAGTGATGGAGAACTTTTATTTAACTCTGTGGCTTTTGGATCTGATGACTGTTCCCTTGTTTTCACACTTGTAAGTCCTTGGCAATTTTATCAAAAGCTTCAGAAGTAGGAAGAATTGACAGCAGGAACTCAAAGCATATCATAACTTAAATATATTCCTGGAAAATTTGAGCATGAGATAATATTCAGTGTGATGTTGGCATTTGATAAATCAGATGCAATGAACTGAATTATGCAAAACAGTAATTTTGAATCTATCACTCAGCTGAATGCTATCTAAATCAGAATTTATTTAATTACTAGCAGAGGGAAAGGTAAGGAACCTGCCTACTTTATTCCTTTCCCTTTCATCCAATCATTCAGTGATTTTTTTTTATTAACACTGAATTCGTAGGAGTCTCAGCACTGCCCCAGTCATTTAGAACTGCTCTGCTTTGCGCTTAGTTAAAAGTAAAGCAGCCCGTGTGAAAATACACCAGGAAAACATCGATCTGCTGGCAATTTCAAAGCTTTTGAATGGCTTGGTCTCCAAATATACTAGACAAGAATATTAAAAATCTTTAGGGTTAGATGATCCTGAGGAAGTAGCCCTTGAACATTGAAGATGTTGGCTGTAAAGTGGCCACCGGCCGAGAACTTGGACAGGTAGAGCTGTGCGCAAACATCACCAATCAGGGAGTTCCAACTCCCTCTTGCTTTAAGCTGGAATGGAGGGCTTCCAGCTGGGACTGTTCAAAGGAAGTTGACACTTAAATGCTAGCATTCCATGCGGGTATTAGCCTTGGAGATTTAGCTGAAGGGTCATTGCTAAAGTCATCCATAGTCTCATTTGGTTCTTGTTTGAGTTCCGTACTCACGATGCCCCACGTCCTTCTCTGTCCCTAGAGGTCCTCCACTCCATCTGTCCCTGGGATCGTGGCTCTCCTGGCGTGTCTGCTCCTGTGATTCTTGCTGTACCTTGGATGAAACTTTTACTCTCAGTCAGCATCTTCTTTTTCACATGTCCACTCAAGCTCTTAGCCCTCATTAAACTCTGTTTCCTTTGGTGCAGAGGTTCCCTGGTTCACAGCACTGCTTTAAAGCCACGTCTCTTCCCATGCAATGCAGAAAACCCAACAAGCAAGTGACAGCAGTAAGGATTTACGTCTCCTACCAGGCGAAGGATGTGCAGCCTCAATTTGTAAATTAAACCAGTTAGTGGCACCATGTGTATGTGTCCGGCCATTTCAGAGCAAGATAGACTAAATGCACGTGCTTCAGTTTGGAGGGTAAGGGTAAAGGAAAATGTATTGAAAACCTTCTCCTTTCAGATCTGCTGTTCTCAGGGACTTAGGCTGTTGTTACATCTGAACATTTGGTTCATTCATTGTCCAGGAACGCACTGCTGATGAGAACAGATTCTGGCCCACTTTTCAGGGGCAGCACCAAGATGGCTTGCCATCACAGCTTATTCATTCACTTATCATTTTAAATAATAATTTCCCATTGTAAAACTTCAGGGGCAAGGACTGTGGTATAATAAGAGGTTTTTAGGTTTGACTGTCTGCCTGGTTTCTTCTCCAGGGAAGAAGCCTGCTCCATTGGTTAGGCTGAGAAAAATGCTGTTCCACTGGCCCGGATCACTGTGGATTTTTCTCAGGATCTTTAGCATCCTTCTAGGGAGATGAGGTCTAGGGGCAGAGCATGGTAGCTGGGTGATGCTGAGAAGCTGACTAGCTTGACCTGTTGCTGTCATCCCATGCTATCCATTAGCTTTTCTGCCGATTGCAGTGTTTCCGTCGTGCCCCCAAATTCAAACATGTCTTTGATCAAACAAGATCTGTCTGCATGTTGGTCGGATCTTAACGTCCCCTTGTTCTTTTATTTCAGCTGGGTCCCGGGCCTCATACAGCAGCCAGCACGGCCACCTGGGCCCGGAGCTGCGGGCCCTGCAGTCCCCAGAGCACCACATAGACCCCATCTATGAAGACCGCGTCTATCAGAAGCCTCCCATGAGGAGTCTCAGCCAGAGCCAGGGGGACCCTCTGCCGCCAGCACACACCGGCACGTACCGCACGAGCACAGGTGTGTACTCAGGGCCCCGGGTGGACTGTCCCCAGGGGGTGGGTCTACCTGGGGGCTTAAATAACACTCCCTCGTGAAAGGAGTGTGCGTGTGCATGTGCGCGCGCGTGCACCGTCTGCTGAGAAGCACTGTGATGCCCCCTGCTTCTCACATTCATGCCTGTGATCATGATGATGGAAACCCAGTGAGACTCCAGTTTAGCTCCCTGAGTCTGTGGCAAATGAAAGAAGTCCCATGGGGGCTGTAAGCTTCTCAAACAGGGAAATGGAAGGAAACACTACTAAGTTTTGGTGCATCATTAGTAATATATTTAATGAGTATAACCACTTTAAGAAAGCACAGTCATTATTATCCAGGACATGTAAAGGCACGTGCCTAAAGCTGGTGAGTGTTTCTTAATCGTACAGTCTACTTATTTGGCAAGCTTGCGGTGGAAACACATATTTTCTAAACATGTGATGTATTTTTGTAAGGCACTGAGAATTTATTTCATACACACTATCAAGTAGAATCATATGAAGTCATTATTTAAAGGTCGGGTATTGGTGATTGCATATGGTTCAACTCTTTGGCTCTCCTGGATTAAATACATATTTTGAGTTGAACACAGCCACAAGTCACACGAAGAAAGACAAGTGTTTTCCAGAAAAGGAAGCTGTTTGTGAAACAGCTGGTCAAATGGCATGATTAAGTGTGTTAAAGAACACTTCTCTGAACTAGCAAATCAGTGTAATTGAGAAGATAGAATCTCACTTACTCCAAAGCCTCACGTGGCTAAATAAACTTAGAAAAATATTATGCCTCTGGTTTGCAGTCAGTAGAGCTTTGTCCTTCATTTCTGATGAGACACGTGACCCTGCACGGGGGCTGAGACATGGGGACTTGGCACCCAGGGCTCTGCGTCTTCAGACTCTTGGAACTTCCAGTTGCCATGAAGGAGAGAGTAGCAATTTCGTTAAACTGCAGTATGATACTAAATTACACGTTTTGGAAGCCAGGCAAGCCGTGTCGCTTTTAGAGTTGATTATTGATATTTACATTTGAATATTGCAGTGCATCATAGGAAGAAAGGCACAAAGTGCTCTTTATTTTACTTTTGACATTGTAAATGTCATCCAGGGTTCATGATGCACATCTCAGTTCAGACAGAAAGCATCCCCATTTATTTTTCTGTCAGAATTTCCCTCACCTTCAACCTGTTAAATCCACTCCAGTCTGTCTGGGGTTGGGCTATTGTAGCATTTCTTTTGTTGCACATTATTAATTAAGGTAATTTTATTTCCACACACCTCTTATAAAAGATAAAGATCATCTCAGTGACATTCAATGTCTAATTTGAAGAGAACCTGACAACAAAAAGGATTATATTGAGTCTCTGTTCCATATTCATATGTTCTTAGAATTATCTCTTGTTGATAAACTTCTGGGAGGTTAATGAAAAATTAGCTGCAATAGGAAAAAAATACTCTATTCATCGATTGCTAATTAAAAAAGGGAAAGATGTTCACACTTAAAAAAAAAGAACAGGGACAGCAGCAAAGCTAGCGTCGTCTCTGAGCCCGGGGTTGGCAAACTACGGCTCACGGGCTGAGCCCAGCCGGCCAGCTGCTTAACAGTGCTCATGAGTTTAGAATGATGACTACATTTTTAATGGTTTGCAATCCAAAGATGGATACTATTTTGTGGCGTGTAGAAATTGTATGAAATCCGGATTTCAGAGTCCATCAATGGTCATTGGAATCCAGCCCCGCCCACTTGGTGCCCTGTCAGCTGTGGCTTCTGGCTACTGTCACCCGCAGCGGCCGAGCTGAGTGGTTGTGACAGGCCACGTGGTTGCTGAAGCTGAGCACACTCACTCTCTGGCCCCTCCCAGAAAAGTGTGCCGACCTCTGCGCCACGCCGTCAGTGGAGAACTAGGCTGAATGAAGGAGCAGGTGTTTTCTCCGGTCCCTCCTGTGAGGGAAGGCAGCAGCGTCCTCCGAGGGCTTCATGTGGGAAACTCTGGTTGCCTGGCCTTCTCCCAGTGACAGTGATCTCTGTCCTGGCCGAGATCGCTGAGCTGTGACAACCAGGTGCCCGAGACCCCATTCCAGCCTGCAGCTTTAAACTTGCACTTTCAAGGAAATACGCTGATTACACAACACTACAGAGATTCCCAGAAGTACGTGGATGGTCTCTTGGGGACAGGCGGGGAGAAGCCACCCCTCTCCAGCTCCTAAGCATCAGGCCACAGCCCTCTCTCCCTCAGACCTGCTCAGCCTCCTGTCTCTTTCTACACTGAATTCATTTTATTTCAAGTCCTTACCTTGCCCAGCTCACCCGACAACTCCAGGAACTGCCTCTGTGAGAACCCACGTTTGAGAAAAAGCCTTTATTCCGGGTATATATCTCACATAGAGATCACACACCTATTACTGCAGTATTATTAAAGTATATCTAGTAAAGATCAAGGATGAACTTTCATAAAGAAACAGTTTAAGGTGCCTTCCCATGTCCAGGGTCTCATTTTTCACATCCCCTGTACTTTATACACCCCATCCTGGAGGCCACTGGAGCAGACTTTTAAGTGGCTTCCAGAGTCAGAGCAAACACCCTGATTCCTTGAGAGAAGAGGACACGTTCTTCTGAGGCCTGTTGGACCTGAAGTGTCCAGGGGCCACTAGCTTTTGGCTCCAGTTGGTCGCTGAGATGACTTCCCAGCCTTATGTCTCTGCTGTTAAGTAAGGCCACTGGCTGGGGGTCCTTCAGTGCCCCCCAAAGCATTTCCAGATGATCCTTCAGGGAAAGAGGGGCAGGGGAACTGAAGGCCAGCTGCCCCTCTTCAAGGAGTCAACATTTGGGAACGAAGACAAGTGCACTTGCGTAACCAACTAGGAAATTACTAGATAGTTCCAGAGCATCAGGCAGGTGAGACAGATGACAAAGCAGATAGCACGTTGCCACTGTCGGGGGCCATTCTAAGTGCGTGGAGCATACCTACGAATCCCCAGAACCACCCTGTGAAGGAGGTGCTATTACAATCCTCATTTTACAGATTAGAATACTGAGGCACAGAGATGTTCAGTGATCTGCCCGACACACAGGTTGTATGGAGCCAGTCTGTAAACCTTCACACCCAGGCAGTCTTGCCCTGGAACCTGGGCTCTTAAGAGTCATCTTGGTTGATCCTGCATCTGTAAAACTCATCATTTAAAACCAAAATAAACATACACCATTTTCACCTAGAGAGCTTCATGGTCGTCTATCTCCTGCTCGTCAGATAATGTCTGTTGAAGACGAACCGCGAGCTAGATGGGCTTGCAGATCCAGAGAAGCTTAATTCTATGTGTCCTCACGCACGGTCAATTTTAGTTCCAGAGAAGGACTTAAAATATGAAATAAATAACTGGCAACTGAAGGAAGTATATTAAAGGTGACATGAATATTCCAGACAACATTGAAGACAAAGAATCAATGATGCACTAAACACACACTGTCTTCTCTTTCCTAGATAACATGCAGCTCACGATTGCCCTGTGCACAAGCTCACCCTCTCCTAAGACATTCCTCCTCTAGTTTCTCGGCAGGGGTGGGGGTGAGGGAAGGTGTCCACCCTCGGTCACTTGGGTTCCCAGACACCACCTGCTGACCCCATCCCTGGGCCTCCCTTACTCCAAATACCACTCGGGCCATCCTGAGTTACAGGCTGTGCTAGATCTGAGAGGTGCAGAGGAGAACGGGAAACAGCTGTAGTCACTGAAGATGAAACAGGGTCAAGTTCCCTGAACGACCCACCAAAGGGGATTTCTCAGTTAGCTTTTCCCGCTACACCCAGACTACCACCATCTTTTCCCGTCCCTCCTCTCCACCTTCCTTCTCCATCTCTCTTTCTCAGCTGCCAGAGTTAGCCTCTCACCCCTGTTACTTTATTATGAAGACCGGTGTAGATCCCAGACACCAACTCCACCAAGGACCACAGTCTACCTTTGGGGGTTCAAAGAGGTCCTCTAGGCTTTCCTAAACCAAAAAGCTGGAGACTTACATACATGCAAGTGTAAACATTTGTGTACATTAGAGGATCAGGCTTTGTAAACCCTACTTCTCACCTCTCTTCTGCTCCAGGCTGGCAGATGGTGAAGCGTACAATGGGAGTCATGCCTCACACCAAAAAGTCAGTGTGATTTTATTTAGCTGAGCTGGCAGACACTCCATCAGCCATGGCTATGCCAGAGAAGGCGGTCTGAAGAGGGTCTTCTGCCCCTAACCACAGACCTATCTCTGACCCTTCACGCTCAGGTATGCCAGCCAGTGCTGGGCAGGGACCGCAGACCTCGCCCCAGCTCAGTCCGCGCAGAAGGGAGTGCGTTCAGTGGATGGCCCACCGGCCTCCCTGCCCCCAGATGATGCTCTTTGTAGGGAGGTGGAGACAGAACAGAGCAGCTGCCTGCCCGCCCGCCCCAGGACAGGACTGAGACAGAAGCCAGCAGGGTGGCCCCAGAGGTCTGGCAGCATAAGAGAGCAAGAGGGCCACTTTCTGAATCAGCAGTGGTCCCCCCGTGCAGCGGGGCTCCCCGGAGAGGAGGACCCTCTCACCAGGCACACATCATGCTCCCTCCCTGGGCAGGAATCCTGTGACCTGCTGCAGAAAAGCCAGGCTAGTGAGCCGTGAGTGGGACAGACGTGATGTGACTGTCCCCCCAGTGTCTGAGGCTTCATTTCTTGCACAATGAAAATTTAAAGAGGCACAGTTTTAACTAGGGAGTCTGTTTAAATAAAACATACCTTTGTCTGGGATAAGACTTGTACAAAGCACAGCTTATGCAATAAGGCAGAGCCAGAGAAGGAATATGTGATCTCATGGATTTCCTTATGAGAAAGTCTATTGAGCTAAAACAGAATAACACACATTTTTTATTTCAAACTCAAACCTATCAATGACTATCAACTTTGGAGTCATTTGATTAACACAGACACTTAACTCTGACACCTGCCCCAAACACATCTTTCTAAACTAGTGACAA